TGATAATGTTTTTTTTTTCCATAATATATATATAGAATGCCTGAAATAAACTTAAAAAGGGTCGGTATTTTTTTAAAAATTTCTGTATTTTTAATCATTAACACGCTTGTTTATTATTAAATATATCTATTTGGGAAGTCAAGGACTTTCTTAATCTTAGTTTTAAAGTGAAATCTAATAAAAAAAAATTCTAAAACTTTTTTTTTACATATTGACAACTTTCTAAAAACATTTTAAAGACCATACGAATCTGGTAAATAATGTATCTATTTTTTATAAGTTTGAATTACTAAATTGCTTGTAGATAATACAATTCTTAGAAATTTTAAAATCTTAGAATTTTGTCAAAAATTAAAGACCCCAAAAAATTTATCGCTACCACTTAAACAAAAAAAAAACAATTTCTGAACGTCTGTACAAGTTCGCAGCTGTGCCATAGTAATTTCCCCCCTTCCTACTATTGCTTCTATTTTTAGATGAAGAAGCAAATGGCTACCCTTCCCAGGGTTATGATCTCTGTATTAATTTTACAGATCAGTCAATAGTAATTTCATTTGAACAAAACAGAAAGATCCCTCAGGATGCTTGATAACACCTCGCATTGGCATTTCGGGCAAATAAAATCTGAATGCTGTTTACGCATTTCCCAACTCTGTCAAGAGAAAAAGATAACTTTATTAGTGAATTTTTCGCTGGGAAATATGCATTAGCAATCGGGTTCTCATATTTGACTGACCGTGTTGAACCAAAATCAGTGAGAATGGCTCTTAATAATACACAAATCGCATTTGCGTGCGATCATATATGCGAATTGCATTCAGTGTGAATACTCACTTAATAATTTTGCAGTTGAGCCTCATTTTTCAAACTGAATCGGCAAGGAAGAAAACATCTCAACTTCCTTACCAAAACCGAAAACTGACAACATCTAATTTTACGTAAGCAAAACAATTTTTAATGATCCGTCGGCACTCTTTGTAGTTATATTAAAGAATATTTAAAAGTCTTGTAAGTAAACTTTGGCAAACGCTTGTATTTTTCTATTACTTTCTCACTTGATTATTATAGTTTTAACAACGTTGTTACTCCTTAATAGTATGCTGTACATAACAAACTATCAAATTTATGTTTAAGAAGTTGCTGTTTACACAGGTTGCATTTGAATTATTTTAATTAATGTAGAAATATTTCACTTCATTTACTATTTTTGTTGTAAAATGTATTAGATGGTGATGGAACTTGAACATCAACCGGTCTGTTATTTAGTACACGTACATAAACAATCTGTCTCCCATGTTTGTGTGCTTAAGAAAATTACACGTATTGTCCTCTATAGACTTGTAAGGACATATACCGAGAAAGAACAATGTTTGTACGCGTAGTTTTCATAGATTATAACGTTTTACATTGAAAATTTATAATTTCTGTTTGTTATGGGGCGTAGTAGAATTGGGCTCTTAATTGTCTAGTCTTATGGTCCTGCATTTTTCTTGCGAAAATAAAATACTTTTAGGATTTTATTTTAATTTATGTAGTTTAGTACTTTATACTCAATTTAGAAAATGGATGAATATCATAAGTAAAGGTAATATCTGCAAGGTTAGAAATCAAACAATTTTTAATTCAATGGTCCATTTAAATGTCATAATACGATTTCTCTTATTGTTAGCTGACGAATTTATACGAAAAATTATAAAACATTATGATAAGTTATTTTATGAAGTCACAACTATGATAAAACATGTTATTTTGTGACTACTCTCCAAAACTTAAACTTATCAATAAACCACTACAGGGCAGCATACCTTTACACTGATTGCTGATAATTTAGTGGCATCAAACTAGTGTCAATTTCGAGCCCTGAATATCAAATATTATTTTGTGTTATTAAATATATTGAATATTGCTGTAATTCCTTAAAATTTATTTATATTGAAGGGTAACTCAAAAGTGTTTTATGCATGCGTAAAATGATTGAAATGTCATATATTGTACTGATAATGTTTTTTTTTCCATAGAAAAATGAGTGCCGCAGATCAGATTTGTTATACACTTATCAGTGCTCCAAGTGATACTGAGCAGCCAAATGAAATGCAATTGAAAATGGATTTAGGTAACTTATGAAAAGATTGTATTATGTTTATTTAACTTATTTAAATATTTCATTTTTCCTTAAATGCAAGTTTTTAATATTTTCTTTTAATTTTACTTTACTATGATGTTATTGATTTTAAAATAAAGGTACTGTACTTTTATTTATTTCTCACTTGAGTTGCATAATGGGCTATTGGTGACGGTCTGGGAAACATCCTCGATGATTATCTGGACAACATACACACATCACACCCCGTTTTACAGGACGGACACATTCAAACAGCTTTCATCTATCAGCACATCGTAATTTTGAGCTGAACCAGAGCGCGATCTATCTCCGATCTAGTACTCGCGTAGGTTTTGATTTGTTATGGGAACTTAGAAGACTTAGTGATCCCTACAGATATAGCGTGCCATATAAAGTTAAGATAATGTTAGATTAAGTCAGATTGATGGTTTTTATTAAATCAAATTTGTTGAATTCAGCCATTTGTAGTAATAATTGCTTTATTGTTAACTATTATTATAATCCAAGTTTTTCAAAGGAACAATAGAAGTCAGAATCTGAGGCCAGAGTATTTTTAAGTATGAAGGATAAAAATTGTCTTTCTTAGCAAAATTGCTATTTATTTTAGGCATTTTATTTAAGCAATCTCAATTTAATTGTATCTTACATTCAATTACATATTAAAATTTAAAACAGTTAATAATCTGCATTTTGGAAGTATATTTAAAACAGAGAATAAGAGAAACCTGATGCAAAGAGATTTAAAAAATTTTCAGAAGGTGGCATTTAAAAAAAAGTGGGGATAAAACTGCCTTTTCTTTTACAGTACAGAACCCATTATCCGGAAATCGGAAAACCAAAAAACCGGAACGAAATTCGATAAATTTTCCCACCATTTTTTAAAAAAAAATTTTTTTTCCTCATAAGATTTTAGAATTTTTCTTTCTTTTTTGAAAGATGTTAACCTTACCATCATTTTGGAAATAATCATTAGTGTATTACTCCATCGTTTTTTCTTCTTTTTAAGATTATTTCCAAAAAAAAAAATTTTTAGTTGGATTTAACAATAAAAAAACGGCTTTTTGTAGCGATTCAGAAAACCGAAAAAATCAGTTATCCGGAATAGCGATAGTCCCAATTGTTCCGGATAATCGGTTCCCTACTGTACATGAAAACCATTCATATTTTTAACACATAGCTGACCGGTCGCGAGTTAACTCGTGTTTTTGTGACCAAGCATTGGTGACTGGTCACGAGTCATACATGGTGCGTAGCGTTTGTAAAAAGTACTGAAAGATGCTTTTTGGGGGATTTTGTTTTTAAAAGCTTTTAAAGGTGCTTTTTTTAGCTGGCGTTTTTAAAAAGTGCTTTTTTTTTTGAATAGTTTTTATTCCTTCAGTGATATCTGGCGGATCCCCTGCATTTCACGAAAAATGGGGTGTTTGCTACGTAATCATTCACACGGACTTCATGTCATACCCACGTTATGACTTGCGCATGCGCGCACCCTCGAAANAGTCAGAATCTGAGGCCAGAGTATTTTTAAGTATGAAGGATAAAAATTGTCTTTCTTAGCAAAATTGCTATTTATTTTAGGCATTTTATTTAAGCAATCTCAATTTAATTGTATCTTACATTCAATTACATATTAAAATTTAAAACAGTTAATAATCTGCATTTTGGAAGTATATTTAAAACAGAGAATAAGATAAACATGATGCAAAGAGATTTAAAAAATTTTCAGAAGGTGGCATTTAAAAAAAAGTGGGGAAAAAACTGCCTTTTCTTTTACATGAAAACCATTCATATTTTTAACACATTGCTGACCGGTCACGAGTTAACTCGTGTTTTTGTGACCAAGCATTGGTGACTGGTCACGAGTCATACAGGGTGCGTAGCGTTTGTAAAAAGTATTTAAAGGTGCTTTTTGGGGGATTTCGTTTTTAAAAGCTTTTAAAGGTGCTTTTTTCAGCTGGCCTTTTTTAAAAGTGCTTTTTTTTCACAATTTTTTTTTTCCTTCAGTGATATCTGGCGGATCCCCTGCATTTCACGAAAAATGGGGTGTTTGCTACGTAATCATTCACACGGACTTCATGTCGTACCCACGTTATGACTTGCGCATGCGCGCACTCTCAAAACTGAAACCCGAGTGCTCCAATTCGGATAGAGTCAGATCCTTATGAAATGTTTTTCTTTTTAATTTATTTTAATTTTATTCTTGTTTATTTTATTTTACTTCTAACACTTTTTTGATTTAGGGGGTAAGGATACTTTTGTTCTGAGTTCAGAGTCAAGTTGATTTCACTCGGTGATGTGGGAAAGTACTGATTGTTTCGATTTATGCCGTTTCTTTTTGGTTTTTTTTTTTAATGTTAAAACTGTTCATAAAAAGTTTTTGTTTTTCAATAATATTATTGATTCAATATGAATTTTTTGAGTGCTTGAAAAGTTTTTAAAAAGTGCTTATTTTTGATTCAAAGATTTGGCTATGCACTCTGTCGTAGCAATCATATTAGCAGTGATCTCGTGGTGACTATTTTAAAAAGTGGGCGTAATTTTCTTACTTTTCAAGTTTTACTATTTAATTCTCTACCAATTTATTATAACTTTACGAAAGCCGATATATTGGCAAAACTTATGGTGTACTATTACATGTAGGTGATTGTTATACTTTTTATCATACGAAAAAGAAATATTAAGAGTTGAATAATAAATAAAAAAATTTAAAGTTTATTTATATTTTTTTACTTCCACATCCGTTCCACAGAAAAGTTGCTGGTCAGCACTGTGTTAACTTGATATTGTCTAAAGTGAACTGAATTGTAATATATTTCTAAGAAATTTACTATGCCTCTAAAGTTGATAGATGCTTTGTTATATTTGGTTATGCTAAGTACTTTATGTTATTTGCTTTAAGCAATATTATGTTATGAAAGAGTCTTTTCCAACCACATAATCTAGTACAAAAAGGCTGTGAATGGGATATTTTGGACATAATCAACAAAACATAAAAAGTTGTTATTTAAGATGTTTACTTCTTTTTTATATGAAGGAACTTTTTACTTTTGTAACAATAACTTGACTATCAAGTCTTATAACTTATTTTTTCTTTGTGAAAATGTTCTAATTTTCAGATCTATGTAACAAATGAACAGGTTTTTATTTTACTCCTATGTATACAAATGTCTATAGAAAAATTATGTGGCTATGTTAATACCTTATTTTTACAGATCATGTGTAATGCGTAAAAGTTTTCATTCTGAAAATAGGAAGACTTTTTTTTGGATCTCAGCTACTCTTTTTTAATTATTAAAGGAAATAGAAGTTTCTGTGAAATTTATCTGCTTTTTTTAATAAGTTATACTCAATATAATTGATACATGATATACTTCATGACTATTTTGTCTAGTTAGAAGGAAATTTACTGTAAGATATCTCAAGAATAGATTTAAAGTATAAAAGCATTTTATAATAATGATATATTTATTTTATTTGATGACTATTTTTTTAAAACATTATCTTTAAAAATATGAATTATTTACAGAAAAAGGAAACATAAAGACCAAAATTGAAGCTCTGAAAAAGACTATCCACCTCATTCTAAATGGTGAAAAATTTCCATCCATTTTGATGACCATTATCAGATTTGTGTTGCCACTCCAAGATCATACAATCAAGAAACTCCTTCTGATATTTTGGGAAATTGTTCCTAAAACCACCCCTGATGGAAAATTGATGCAAGAAATGATTTTAGTCTGTGATGCTTATAGAAAGGTTGAGTTTTATTTCAATATTTTTCACTGATACTGATTAATAAAATTAAAAGGCATTTATCTTGTCTCTTCCCTTTTAATTTAATTTTTAAAATTTTTTATTCAAAATGATAATTTAATAATCGTGTTGCTCTTAAAAATTTCTTCTTAGAATTCTTACTGACTTGCATTCTTTTTTACAACTTAATCAGGCTTAATCAAAGTACATTTTTCTCACAAGTATTAAAAAAAAATCTTTTTAAGTTTTGCTTTCTATCCTCTAAGAGTAAAAACTGCCCATTTGCAAAGTGCATTTTCTTGTTTATATTTGTCTATATGTATCTAATTCTTTTATAATACAAATAATAACAGACAAGCAAATAATAAGAGAAAAATAGAAGCAAAATAATTCTAATTTTCTTTTAACAATTATTTAGTTTTGAGAAATTTTTTTTCTTCTTCTGTATAATTTTAATTTTTGAATCATGTTTTCATTATGCTGTTTAATAACTCAATGAAAGTTATTAAATTTTTTTTATTGCTGTGAAATTTTTATTAGGCTTTCTCGAGGCTTACGGTTGGTATTGCCATTGCCTGACTTAAGATTTAAAGTTGATATGTATTGCTGTAAGATTGATATACATAGTTGTATGGTTAATTGTTTTGTAGATATCTTCTTTCTAGTGTAGCGTACTATGTTTTAAACAAAGGTTTTTTCTTTATTCTATGTTAGTTAAAGTAAAAATGTCTAGTTTGTTTGGCTTTTTCATAATTATAAAATTTACATAACTTTGTTACTGTACATACCTTATGTACAGTAACTGTTTGTTACTGTACATAAGTTTTTTATTATAAGTACTATGTTTTTTTGTTTAAAATAGCTTTCTAATCTCTATAATTATTACTGTATTATGAATTAATATTTAAATTGGATTGATTTATTGCTGCATTAAATATTTTTGCTTGTTATGCAAATTCTTATCATTACATCTATATTAATTCTAGCTCATTTGAACTGTAATAAATTAAATTCTATTTCTTAGGAAAATAAGTTATTTATGAATCTTGGTTATGTTTTGATTTATGTAGTTTCACTACGTCTATATATCTCTAAAATATGTTTCTTTTTTGTATAGGATTTACAACACCCAAATGAATTTATTCGAGGATCAACTCTACGGTTTTTGTGCAAACTAAAAGAGCCAGAGCTTCTTGAACCTCTAATGAAAGCCATAAGAGCTTGTTTAGAACACAGACATTCTTATGTGCGCAGAAATGCTGTATTAGCTATATTCACTATTTATAAGTAAGTATTGAACGATGTTTATTTATTATGAATCTATAAGAAAATTAAATAGTTATTTAAAGTAAGAATGTACTGTGGTTTAAATAAAAGATATCATTGGGAATAACTTTTGTTGAATTTTAATAATTGTTAAAAATTATTATTCTTGCCATTTTTCTCATGGAGTTAACATAGGTTAAATGAGTTTTGTAATTATCTTCAAAAAGTTTTTAATATACTGTTACAGATTTCGGAAATATGATGAAATATATAAAAATTTAAAGTAACATAAAATAATTCAAACTTTCAACTGATTCCTTGACTAAACAGTTGTGCCCATGTCTTATAAATTTCTGCTGCAATTCATATTTTGATGGTCAAAAGTCTAAATCACTGGAAAAGAAAAGGTAAATATATAGTGTTCAGAAATTTTTTTTTGTTTGATTAATTATATTAATGTTAATTATGTTATTATGTTTGATTAATTAGTTTGTTTGATTAACTAATTAATAGTTAGCATTAATTAATCAACATACATAAACATTTTTTAATCCATTAAAACTTGCACTTAATGCTAAAGATCTGTTTACTGGAACAAAAATTATTAAGACTGTCTTTTTTTTTTACTCACTTTAATCATTATACACCAGCATTTTTTGATAAAATGGCCAAAAATATTGGATGGGAATTTTATGCCAAAAATGTTTATAAATTAACTTAATGTTAATCTTTTTTTCCTGACAAAATTCAATTCATTATTCTTAATTTTTTTAGGCCAATTTTTAGATTAATATGTATACTTCTTTCTTATTAGGAATTTTGAATTTCTGATTCCTGATGCCCCTGAACTCGTAGCGAATTTCTTGGAGACAGAGCAAGACATGTCCTGCAAAAGGAATGCCTTTATGATGTTGATTCATGTTGATCAGGAACGTGCTCTGAATTACCTTGGATCCTGCATTGATCAAGTTCACACATTTGGTGACATATTGCAACTTGTTATAGTTGAACTTATTTATAAGGTTATTATCTTACAATATTTTCTTCATGTCAGTTTTTTTTTTAAATAGATACGATGATGTATAATTTGTATGTGTTAAAATATAGCAAAGAATAAATTATTGTGGGAGACAAGTATTTTCAACTTAAAGCTAGTCTGTATTAATCACTATATGTGATTTACCTGTGCAAGAGAGATTTATTTTTTTTAATAGCTAAGTTTTTTGTTTTGCTCTTTTTGTGCCACTGCCTAGTATATATTTGCCTGGTATACCCTACACTGCTGTTTTTTTTTTAAGATTAACTGCCACTGTATTGCATACCCAACACTGTTGCTTAAAATGGACTGAAGTGAATTTTGAATTTCACTGATTCAAGTATTTGATTCTGTTTTCGGCATTGGGTACAGATGCATAACAAAACAGTTGTTATGGTTCTAACATTTAATATAGATTTGCAGCTACTTATGAAATACATGTTTTACGTTAAATATATATTGTGGTACAAGTGAAATTTGAATTTATTGGATGCAAAATTTTATTTGGTTTTTGGCACGTGGCAAAAGCAGCACCACTAAAAATGTGCCAGAAGTGGTTGGCGTGAAATATTGAGACCAGATGCTCAACAAATCAGTTCTTTGACTTTTAAAGTGTTTCATGTAGAAATTATTTTTGGTTTATTTCAGTAATGTATTTTATGAGTGCGTGAAATTATTTTTCATTGCATTTTGTCTTACAGGTCTGCCATGGTAACCCATCTGAAAGATCTAGATTCATTCGTTGTATTTATAATCTTTTGAATTCCAGTAGCCCTTCTGTTCGGTATGAAGCAGCCGGTACATTAGTCACTCTTTCAAGTGCACCCACTGCCATCAAAGTGAGATTTACCAATAATAAAAATTTTCTTATGTTCATTAAATACTTGATGAATTTAATTTTAATTTTTCATAAATTTACAAATTATTTTAAATTTATTTTTTTAATCAAGTTATTTAGTTGTCAAGTGATCTCGCAATGCATAATTTAAATTTAATTTTTTTAATTAACTGTTGGGAGTACTATTTTTTCATCTCTTCTTTCTAAATCTTTTGTTATCAGCTAGCTTAAACTCCCAGAATTCTTTTTTATATTTTTAATAAGTATGAAAAACNCTGCTGCATTGCATACCCAACTCTGTTGCTTAAAATTGACTGCAATACAAGCTAATTTTGAATTTCACTGATGCCAATATTTAATTCCGTTTTCGGCATTGGGTACAGATGCATAACAAAGCAGGTGTCTGGGTTCTTAACATTTAACATAGATTTGCAGTTATTTACGAAATTCATGTTTTATATTAAAAAGTTATTGTGGTACAAGTGAAATTTGAATTTATTGGATGCAATATTTTATTTAGTTTTTGGCACATGGCAAAAGCAGCACCGCTAAAAATGTACCAAATATGGTTGGCAAGAAATATCGGTTGTAGCAAATCAGTTCTGTGCACTTTTAAAGTGTTTCATGTATCAAATATATTTGGCTTATTTCAGTAATGTATTTTATGAGTGTGTGAAAAAAAATTTCATTACATTTTATCTTACAGGTCTGCCATGGTAACCCATCTGAAAGATCAAGATTCATTCGTTGTATTTATAATCTTTTGAATTCCAGTAGCCCTTCTGTTCGGTATGAAGCAGCCGGTACATTAGTCACTCTTTCAAGTGCACCCACTGCCATCAAAGTGAGATTTACCTATAATAAAAATTTTCTTATGTTCATTAAATACTTGATAAATTTAATTTTTCAGAAATGTGCAAATTATTTTAAATTTGTTTTTTGAATCAAGTTATTTAGTTGTCAAATGATCTCGCAATGCATAATTTAAATTTAATTTATTTAATTAACTGTTGGGAGTACTATTTTTTCATCTCTTCCTTCTAAATCTTTTGTTATCTGCTAGCTTAAAATGTCAGAATTCTTTTTTATATTTTTAAAAAATATGAAAAACATAGAGTGCAATTGAAACTAAACAAAATAGTTCTCATTATCTGAGTGTAATGCTATTGCTAAGGAATTCCTGTTATAATCGTCAATATCATTATTAATTATCATTCATCAAATCAAAATTGGTATAAAAAGAAACTCATTTCTTTCTATACCACAGTTCTTTTATAATTATAATGCAGAATTTTTAAGTTGTCTTGTACAGTACCAAGAGAAGTATCCTGGTGAACAGTGTTACACTGTATAATGTACATTTGCTCTAGATTTTTTTTCATACCTGTTTTATTTTGAAATAATTTTATATACTGTAATAACAGCCAAGCTTCAGATCAATTGGTACCAGCTTGTCTAGAAATTAAGGGTGGCTTGTGCGCAATGCTGACCACCTTGCCACAATCCTGCTGTTGGTCTCAAATTGATGGAACTGTAACTTCACTGGCCTACAATGGCTTGTTGCGAAGATGCTTTTCTGTAATAATAGTAGTGACTAATTTATGAATGCAAACTACTTTTTTTTCTTCATTTTTAGGCAGCAGCAAGTTGTTACATAGAACTAATTGTCAAAGAGAGTGATAACAATGTGAAACTCATTGTTTTAGATCGATTGATTGCTTTGAAAGACACTCCTGCACATGAAAGAGTGCTACAAGTATGTATTTATACATATTTTTATTAAGAAATATTACCTAAAATTAAATTATAAATAAATTGTAATAAAACATTTAAATTTTTTGTTAATGAGGAAAGGAAAATTTAACTCATGGTCAATACTGAGTTCAGTGATATGATCTTTTTTGCCAGTTCCTATATTGCTTTGATTTTTTACACACTTGGAATAACTTGACCCTGTTTTATTGAAATTGCTTTAAAAACTTTAGTTTTTTTGTTGTTGTCATTAGTGTTATTAAAATCCTATAATTCTATTTTGTGTGTGTGTTTCATTTCAGGATCTTGTCATGGATATTTTAAGAGTGTTGGCTGCATCTGACTTAGAGGTTAGAAGAAAAACTTTAAATCTAGCTTTGGATCTTATTTCTTCAAGAAATGTTGAAGAGGTAAGAAGCTGTTTTTTGTGGTGTTAATTTTTTTTCTCCCGATAAACACAATTGTTTCCTGAAATGCAATGTAGCTAAAGATTTTGAAATTGTAGTTAAACTCATCACTAATAGTTTAAGATGCTTTGTTAACAAATGTAAAATGATCACTAAATTTATTTAACAGTGGTTGCCTCTTTAACTGCTTATATTTGTATTTTTAGATGGTTTTAGTTTTGAAAAAGGAAGTGACTAAGACTCACAATGTGGCAGAACATGAAGACACAGGAAAATATCGTCAGTTGTTAGTCCGCACTCTTCATTCATGTTGCGTAAAGTTTCCTGATGTTGCCCCAGCTATCATACCTGTTGTATGTAAACAGTTCACATTGCGTGGAATTTTTTATTATGATAAAACTTTCTTTTGAACTTGTCTTTAATTTTTACAGTTAATGGAGTTCTTATCTGATAACAATGAACAAGCAGCTGCAGATGTTCTTGCATTCATGCGTGAAGCCATGCAGCGTTTTGAACAGTTGAGAAATTTAATTTTAACGAAATTGCTGGAATCATTTTCCGCAATCAAAACTGCCAAGTGAGCCAATCATTAATTTATCTCCCTTTTTTTTAATTCATTCTTTATTTGTTTAATTCAAGTGTGACAGCTTTTTGATTATTGTGTTATAGATGCATGCTCATATCTTTATATTTATAATGTACAACTCTTATAAATAGTAGAGAATATGCCTTTAAAATTTTTTGTTTCAATTCAAATGATACTTTTTTAATTTTGTTTCAATTCAAATGATTTCGTAATCACCTTACAATTTATTAGAGATCTATGTATTATTTAAACTAGCTCTATTATGTTTCTGCTATTTAAATAAAATTTTATTTATTTTTATTTTTTAAGTAAGAACTTGAACCCCCTTAGTGTTTTTCTCCTGTTAAATGCAGATTCCAAAGCACTAAAATGAGCTTTCCTCTTTTTGTTTTATTTAGTATTTCTTTTTTTACCCATTGAGGAAATTGGTGTTCTAGGTTTGTCCGCACACTTTTCGACTATCTACTTCAACACCATAATCACATATCAAGAGTTATAAGGGTCATAAAAAATCAGGCAAACATATAAATTAATTTAAATAAAGCAGATGACAATTTTGGAACTTCTTCTCATTATTACTGCCTTGGCTGTTGATTTTAATGTACATATCAATGCTGAAGAAGCAATGGAATTTTCTGATATCTTAAGAAACCTGCGCAACTTGAAATATTCTGGGCCTTACTGACAGTCTATTCAGCTGTTATACTCCCTTTTATTTGGAAAGTTATGAAAAAAATTGACCAGTGGGTAACCTGTGATTGCCCTAATGCAATTAGAATTTTCCCTCTCTTTTTTTAAAAAATTTATCTTAATTTTGGATTATTTTTATTCATTTTTGTCAGACTTAATAGCCTCATTTGCTTCCATTACATTGAATATGTACTACTGTTCTTGTTTATCGCAGCTCATCCACTTCTTTTGAAAAATTAAATTCTAAATGTAGTCAACCATATCAGTTGAGTGATATATTAATGACTGCTTTAACGATTGTAGGTTGTTGAATTATTTGGTACTCAAAATATATCATTTTCGAATTATAAATATTTGAATGAAGTAACTCTCTCTGCTGTCTTTATATATTAAAATTTGCTTTTTAATTAAAATAGAAAAAAATAAATTTTTTTAAAATTTTTTCAAGTCTATTTTGTGCAGGTAGCTCTAATGTTTTTTTTTTTGTTTGTTTGTTGTAACATGTACAATCAACAATGTGTATTACAATTAAAAACTGTAACTACTGTAAAAGTAATTAACAACTGTATTTTTAATCCTTGATGTAAACTAAAATGATGTAAAGTAAATAAGAGCTATTTTAAAGCTTAAATGAATGATAGTGTTGCACCCTTAACTTTTAATGTAATTAATGTGCTTTTCAGTTACTTTTTATTCTTTTGCCTCATAATGCAATTTTTTTTTTCACACAGAATTCACAGAAGTGCAATGTGGATTCTTGGAGAATATTGTGAAACTGTAGAAGATATCCATAGTGTAATGACAGAATTTCGGCAGTGTCTTGGAGAGGTCTGATTTTAAGTCTTTTTTTTTTCATCAACGTTACTTCTATTCATTTTTCTCAAAATTGTACTATCATTGCAAAATCTTTTCATTGTATATTTTGAAAGGAAGGATGTAATCAACATAATCAACCTTTTTATTTTTCTTAAGTTAAAAAGCCTGATATTTTTCTTCATGCAAACTTTTTTGTTAAGTAAAATTTAATTTTATAAATATTTTTTTTAATAATTATTCTTAAAAGCAGATAGATGTTAATATATGGTTAGTTTGCCATGTTCAATGTGAAAATCCTATAATTTCTGAAGTGGTCATCAGGTTTTTTATATTTTCAGTTGTAACTGATCTTAGATAATTATTTTAGTACTGTACAACAATTATGAGTTTGCTACTAACCAGAGGTGTGTCGAAAAAGTCAAATTTTTATCATAATCAGTGGAATTTTTAATTCTATATTTTGTATGAAATGTGCATCAAATACTAAAAATAAGAACTGCCTGTAATTGAAAAATCTTTAGACAAGAAGTAAAACGCATGTTTTATTTTTCACTAGCAAGTAAAGACACAATATCCTAAAAAAAATCATTGGTGAATTTTTGTTTTCTGTATAATTAGAATTTTCTAAGCCATTGGCTATGAATTCATTCTCCCAACATCAATTGGATAGGAGTAGCTTTGTCCTGATTTTCAATCCACTCTCCATGTCTTATTAACATGTTCATTGCATCTATATGAGTTATACTTATGGTGACAAGACTTTGTTGCATTTCAATTACAGGCCTCGAATTTCATTGATTTTTAGAGCAGAAGGACTCTAAGGGCAGAAAATGTCCCTAAATTTTAACATGTTTTCAAAGATCCTCGAATTTTTCCAAGAACATTTAATTTTTATTTTTTACTTTCAGTTCAAATTAAAAAAGAAAAGAATGTGCATGTTTTTTAAGCAAGATAATTATGCCTTACACAGAAAACTAATGAAGAACAAAAAGGCACCATGCTAAAGCTAATGGATTAAAATGCTATACCCTTTAAATAATTTCATCAGAAAATAAATTTTAATGATCATTCATTTTACATGTGTTCAAATTCAAAATATTATATATTTCAAAACGGCTCAGGAATGAAATCAATTTTGACATAGATGGTTCTGCACTTGACATTAATTATCAATTTTTTTTAAAAATCTTTGTTTAAGTGGACATATTGCACATAAAAAGTTTTTTTTTCTATAAATTAATATTTTCTGCTGATTTGTCCTTAAATCATGATTTGAAAATCTCATCACTTTACTTCCACCATAATTACATTACCTCCATCAGATTTGCCAATTTAGGAATTCACCAGAGGCATTTTTTTAGGCCTAGATTTTTAAATTTCAATGAAACAGAGCGTACCACGTTTGCATAAGTTTTCTTACTCATAGTTTTTCTTTCCTCATTGTTTAGCCTAAGTGTTAGCTAGCTTTTTTGTAAAGTTTTTATTTTTTCTAAACCACTTAAGGCTGTAACTAAACAGCATATTGCATATTTTATTTGTAAATTATTTAAATTTTAAGATATAGCATTTAGAAATAATAGCATGAAAAAATTTGTCTTTTATACACTAAAATTTTCAACTTTTTTACCACTCTTTTCTGTATGTTTATTTCTTCTTCTATGATGTGTTAAATTTTTATGTTATTCGTTGTATAAGAAATATTAGTTTAATTTGTCATTGTGCAAACTGGAATAATATGTTAAAAATTTACATTATTTTATATCACTCTTTTTCATACTCATAAAAACCTACTCACTTTGAAATGTTACTTACACGTTTCATTTTTTACATGTTAATCATAACCAGAACTTAGTAGAACTTCAGTAGCACATGAAATGCTATTAATTTTTAATCTTTACTCTTGTACTAAATTTGCACCATGTTCTGTTTATATTCTATTGCCCTAGGCTTTATCCATCAGATAAGGAAAGTTGGGGGCAATTGTCTGTTACCTTAAATTGTGATGGTCCTAATTAAAGTTCTGAAAATACGGTTTTTAATTTTTTTTTAAAGACATGTATTTGTTATGTTATATAATATAACAGTGGTTAGGAGAAATTAAACACTTATTTATTGAACTAATAAAATGATCAGAAATTAGTAGTAAAGTATGATTACAGACCTGCCAACTCTTCCGGATTTTCCGGAAGATTTTATTTTCATATTTAAGGTGGTAGCAATACTCATGTTATTCCAATTAACTTTTTGAATTATAATGATAATTATTGATGAGTTTGACCACCACTGCATATAAATAATTACAATAAATATATAAAAGCATAATAATTCTTGCACAAGCGAATTTCAACAGGATCAAAATATAAATAAAGTTTTGAGTCAGATTGTTTTTCGTTTATTGTTTTACAACCACTCTGGAAATCCATTCTCGGAAAGAGTGAAAATTGGCAGGTATGTGATTATGAAACTCTTAGTTTCAAAAATCGAAGTGTGAGATCATGTTTTATCAGAAATCTTTTTATAAAAGTTTACTCAAAATAAAAGTTAGATATTTTTTTTTTTTTGAGGAAATGACCCTCAATGAAAATTACCCATATTACCTGCTCATTCTCGCTAATGTCAATGCAGATTGTAAAGGGTGTATTGAAAATGACTTTGCTGATTAAAAAAAATTCAACTCTAAATAATTTTTTTACAAGACATTTTTGATTAAAAACATTAAAGTTGGTTAGTAGTGTATGTTAATTTTTTTCATATCCTTTTTATATATTCTGCATATTAATTTAGCTTCCAATTGTGGATGATGAGATAAAAAAAGCATCTGGTGAAAACAAAGAAGAAAATGAAAATGATGTGACAATGAGTGCTCCTGTTCAAAAGTTAGTGACTGCTGATGGTACTTATGCTACACAGAGTGCTTTCAGTTCTGCACCAATTCCATCAAAAAGTAAAGTTAATTTTGTCAAGAATAACACTCTAAATTTATTGCTTCTTATTTAAGTGTTAACTATATATGTATTAAATGTTAACTATATATGCAAACTACATTAAAAGTTATTTGGGGTTTTAAATGGAAAAATAACTTTAAAAGTTATTTTTCCATTTATTTAAAAGTCCATTTATTTCTAATTTATTTATAAGTCATTAATTTGGTGTGATATTTTTTACTTGGAGGAAAATCAATGAATGATTCTGAATTGTTAGAAAATTTTATCAGCCCAAATAATGCAGTGTAGGAGTAATTTTTAAAATCTTAATAAGGTATTGGATTTTCTTCATATTGCTATTTTCAGAATTAGTATAATATAAAAATATAAGCAGTACAAAAATGTTTTTACAAGGACAGGGAATAATTTTTTTTATATATTTATTCAAAATTCTAGATATAATCTATATTTTAAAACTTATTAATTAAATTTTCAATTAAATATTTTAAATATTAAACTTACAACTATTGATTCACATAAAAATTTTTTTAATTTTTTCTTTGCATGTTTTTAAAGCCTTGAAGTGAAGGGACAGTAATTAAATTCTTTTATGCAATTACAATTTAAAACTGTCGCTAAATTTTCATTTTTAAATTTTTTCATTACTGGTCATTGATTTATATACTTAAATGTATGGTCTAAATGTAGAAATCATCCACATTAGGTTAATTATGAGATTAATCTTACCTAATTAGCTTCAGCAAAACTTCACATTTTGAGAAATTTGCCCATAAATAAAATTTTTATTAATCCTCTGACCTACCATTGAAAGACAGTATCTTAAATGATTCGTGATAAAAAAATTTTTTCCATTTATCATTTATTTTAATATGTACTTTTTCCAGATGATAAGAAGCCTCCATTGCGTATTTGCTTATTGGCTGGAGATTATTTCATTGGTGCTGCATTGTCAGCTACTCTAGCAAAAATTGCACTTCGATACATTACTCTGGTACATGATGCTAAAAAACAAAATGTAAGTCTTTTTTTTTTTCTTCAAAAAATCATGGTTACCATATTATTTACCATAAAAACAAATTTATTTAAAGATTTTTGGGGAGGAATTATTGTGATTTGCCTTCATAATTATCTTTGTATTAATCTATACCGCTATAACAAATATGCAATTTTATGCCTAAAATAGAGTATTCTGTTAATATTTTTTACATTATTATCTCTGCATATGGTGTGCAATAACTGTAATTATTATTATATGCCATACCTCTCTTAATATAGTACAATTATCTATTTATTGTAATATTAATATTTCACATAATTTCAGGCTTTTATTGCTGAATGCATGTTAGTTATGGCTTCAATAATTCATTTGGGTAAATCAGGAATAGCTAAGAAGGTAAGCAATTTTTTTTTTAAAATATTCTATCATTATTTCTAAACTTGAATTATAATAACATTAATTTATAAAATACATTTAATACCTTAAGTAAAAACATACTGTGAAATAAAGTACGTTTAGTTTAATATATTTTAAATGCAGGAACATCAGGAATGTTAACATCAATGTAACTCTTTAAAAAATATTAATCGTCATTAAAAAAAATAATATTGGTGTTTGTTATCTTCTCTTTTTTCCAAATATTGAATAAAAATTTATTAACACTTTTTTTTCATTGTAAATTGTGCTTTCAATATCAAAAGCTCTGTTCCTTCATTCACATTTAATGCTTTAAGTATTTATTTTTTTTTTACTTCAAAGGTAATTGAAATATATAAGTGTTAAATGCATGGAATCACTCTTTTTAAAGAATAAGATTATTCACTGTTCTGAATGTATGTTGTCCTAATCATGAAAACGTAATCTATCACTTCATAGAGTATATAATTTAGTCCAATAAAAGTTTTCTTCTTGTATCTTTCAACTTTATTCATTCAAAAATTGCTACTTCAAAATTTTTTAGACTAAATACTATTTTTTTTTGCACAACTTAAGAGGAAAATTTTTTAATAATTCCTGATAAAAATTAAGTGAATGGGAAATGTTTTTGTTGGCAATAATTTACTTTTATCCCATATCTAAGCTGGTTTGTGTGTGAGAGCTGTTTTTAAGCACCTTGTTCTCCCTTCTTGAATCAGTGCATAGTTTTGATAATAAAAAAAAGTATTTTGTACTGGTTTAATTGAAGCTGTATCTAACAGTTTCTTCCAGTTGTAACAGCTTCTAATAACTGCTCAAAAATAAAATATAATTGTTAAATTATGAAAATTAAAACATTAATAGCATTAACATAGGACATATTCTGATTAAGCTAACCCACAATTTAAATAAATCTAAGCACTATGGCTTTTAAAAACTTTTTGATTTATCTCCTTTTTTTTTCCTCCAGAAGTTACTTTTTTGTTATTTATATTTCATCAGTTAAAATTTTTATTCTGAATATTATTTCCCTGTGTTTTTCCTTCGTTAGAACATAAATGATGATGATCTGGAACGAATAGCTCTGTCTATTAAAGTACTTGCTGACCGTTCACCCCTTATGATTAATATATTCAACGACGAATGTAGGAAATCATTAGCTGCCATGCTAGCTGCGAAACATGAAGAAGAACTAGAACACCTTAAGGTTTGTATATTTTTTATTTGGTTTTTAGTTTGTTGATTATATAATTAAATGTAAGAAAAACGAATTTTATCTATTTTTTTTTCAGGCTAAAGAGACAAACAATGTTGTTATCCAAACAGATGATCCAATAACATTCAGTCAATTGACTGCCAAAGGAGATGCTTCTGGGACTGAAGTAAGAAAATATTCAGTTTCTTTTTATTTGAACAATCAATTTTCTCCCCAGGTTAGCATGATTTAAACAGTGATTTAAATCAACTGAATTTACTAAAAAAATCATTCATTTAAATCTGATTTTATTTTAAAGCATTAAATAAATAAAAGAGAAATGTATATTATTAATATTTTATTTATTCAGTGACCGCTTTATAGTAATTATAATATATATTAAGTGTTATTGATGTATGTTATCGGAACTATGATAGCTAAAAAAAAAAAGGAAAAAGAAATAAAATCCAATTTTTAATGAATATTTTGTTTTTCATTTATTAAAAAGAGACTGTTGCCAACTGTGTTTTCTTTATACTAACACAATTTTAACCCATCTGATTCTGATCCAGTTCCAAAATATGTTACATAAAATGTTAGTTATCCCCCCGTTTGATGACTTGATATATTGTGCAGTACTTCATTCGATTGTATCACACAGCTTACAAAATTGTCTTATTCTTCAATAAATATTCGCTTTAGTTTTACTTTGAAAACTTTTTCTCTATCCATTCCTTTAATAATTTCAACAACAAGGATAATTCTAACTTTATCTGAAATATGTGTTTAACATAAATATTAGCTTCTACTTTTAATGTTAAAATCTATTGTCTTCTAAATCTTATGCAGTACTTGCTTTAATTGTATTGTGTTAATTATTTGAAATATATATATTAATGAAAAAGAATTGTAGATATCTGCACTCTCATATTTTTTTTCTTTTTATTCTTAGAAAGAAATGTTTTCAAAACAGAAGTTCTCGTCTTTTTTTTAACTGTTAAGATTAAACTTTTAACAGTGCCTTTTTTTTTAATTGTGAACATCATTATTTAAATACATTTAGATTTGCTTCAAGTATTTTAATTAGTTTTTTAGTAAAATTAAGCTTATAAAACTAATCTTAGGATTATTGAAAAAAGAGAATAATTATGTTTAATTTTTAATTCAATTATTTTTTAATCAAAATATTGGTAGTTCTATGGTAAAAAATTAACTTAAAAGCAGTATATGAACTACAATATGAGCATAATTTTGCATTACGTTTTAAATGTTTTTGGTCATTTTTAGGTTCACTTAATTACCACAAGTACTTCAACAAATTAGTTTGAATAAGGAAGAATATGTGTAATTTTTCTCTCTTGAAGTTTAAAATAAGTTTTTTAAGTTTAAGGTGTCAGTTGTTACCAATTTCTTTGTCAAATATATTAAGACCAACTTTAAGATTCGTATACTAATGTGCAATAGAAAAAGAGCAACAAAAAATTTTAAAATTGTGATTTTTATACAAATTCTAAACATTCTTCTTCCAAAAATAGTTTTTTTTTATCAGTTTTTTAAAATTCTAATTTAGCATTAAGGAAAATAGTAGTCAAGCCACTTTTCATGCAATCTTTTGTGACACAATTGCATTTTTTCAATTGTATGGCAGTATAAAGATTCATGTTTATTGATTCATAGTAAAAAAAATCAAGAATTTTCGTCCAAAACTTTTTTTTTAATATTACTTGACTTATTTTAAGAAATTTGATATATTTCTATGGGTTTAAAAATATTTTTATTAGATGGTTTTAAAAATTTCTTCATGCAATATAACCTCAGAAATCCCAAAACCTCTGAATTCAACTCATTCAATTATTTTCAACAAAAAATTTATGTAAATCAATTTTGAATCTGATGCGAGATTTTTAAATGTGAGTGCCATTATATCATCATAATAGAGAAAATTGATTTTAAAAAAGAATGAAGGAATTTATTTTAAAATCCACATCATGCATTTGGGATGATATCCAAAAATGTGCATGTCTAAAAGTGATAATTCAAATGTATGTATATTACAATTTTACTATTGAAATTATTGGGAATATAAAAACACCTGTCGCAATTGCAAAATCCACATTAAATTGCAAATGCTCAATTCAAAATATATTTCTTGTAATAATGTAGTTTTAAAATATCAGGATTTTAAAAGTCATGTTGTCCATAGCAATAACTGCTGGAAGAAAAAAAAAAAAAAACAAGAAAACATGCATCAAGTAATTAATAGTGACTTAATTTCTTTTGATAATTTTAAGTATTTTCTATACTATTTTTCAAGTCTTATTTCAATATTTTACCTTATTTATTTTGCTATTATATTATCTTAGAATATGTTTGAGCTAAGTCTTTCTCAAGCTATGGGAGTGTTGAAAAAAGATTCTGCAGCTGATTTAAGCTCCTCTAAACTGAGCAAAGTGACTCAACTGACTGGGTTCTCTGATCCAGTTTATGCTGAAGCCTATGTTCATGTAAACCAATATGATATTGTCCTGGATGTGTTGATTGTCAACCAAACTTCTGATACTCTTCAAAACTGTACTCTAGAACTAGCTACATTAGGTAAGTGAATTTTATTGTTTAGTTTTCCAATTTCCGTTTTCTTTCTGTTATTGTCTTTCTTGTAAGTAAGTAAGTATGTATTTTTATATTTATTACAATATTTTTATATTACTGTAGTAAGATAGTCCAATTATTACTGTGACTCAACTTTTTGAATGAGGTCCTGAAACTTCTATTTATAATTTCATACTAATGTCAATTTCTTAATTTTCACTCATATAAACTTGATTTTTTTTCCTTTCTTGAAAAGGATGCTAAATTGTACAGTATTACTATTATTCTCATATTATGATGTTCCGACGTTTTTTTTTCTTTTAATTTCATGTTAAATATTTTAAATTACTTAATTTTTTACTCATTTTAACTTCCTTTTTTTCTAAAAAAAAAAAACAATAAATAAATAAAAAGGGCTCAATCTTTTATAGCTCAAAAAAAGGGGGATAACAATTTCTTGATTCTCTGCAATTAATGCACAATAGACTTTGATCAGAACCAGTTCAGAGAAAGAAGGAATAGTTAATGATTTCTTATGTTTGAAAACTGAATGTTTTTTTATTTGTATTGATTTGAATTTGTAAATGAATGGATTCAATGTAAGTGTGTTTATTCAAAAATATCTCACTCTTTTCAAACTGATCAAGGTGCTGATAAGATTTATGTTTATAATTTTCTGTTATAATTTTCAAAAAAATAAAAAANATTTTAAAAAAAAAAAAAAAAAAAAAAAAAGTATTTATTAGTGAGGACTTAGGAGATGAAATTAATCTTATTTTTGATGTGGAAAAAAATCCAACAATGAAAAGAAATAAAATAAAATTGACTAATGAAATAATGAGAATCATTATAAAAGTATTTAAAAATTAAACAAATTAAATTCATTATCAATAATATTTTTTTGGTTGACTTTAAAAAAAAAACTTTTTTTGTTTTATTTTGATTTTTTAAACTAAAATGTTTAAAAAATCAAAATAAAACAATAAAAGTTTTTTTTTGTTTTATTTTGATCTACCATATCAAAATCTACCATATTGTCTAAGTAAGAATTTGATTTTAAATACAAGTATTCTGTTTATGATTGTGATTTCATGCCATAAGATTTGTAATAGTGTTTTGTGATAAAAAGATGTGATTAAGATATTTGAATTGAGTTAAATATGGAAAATTTGCTCTTTTTTATAATAGTTGTGTAAAATTTTAATATTTTACTTCTTTCAATCATAATATTAAGATTATTTAAGTGTTAGTAAAATATAGCTATACAAGTTGATATTTATATTATCAATTTAGACATCTGCAACAAACTTATTAAAAATGTTCATAAACAGTATTAGAAAAAGTAACATTTTCTTTTTTTGAACTTTTATATTATGAAATCTCAATAAGTTGCAATGGTCCAGGGCTGATTTGCAGAAGTTCTTAATTGCCAGAATCTCATTTTAAGGAGTTTGTGTAGTTAAAGACTTGAATTAAAATGTTTGTAATTTCAAATGTATTTTACTTAAGTTGTTGCTTTACAGTAAGAATATTTTTTTAAAAGAAAATATTTATCTTTTTTGAAAATAGTACATTTTACGATTTTATTTTATTCCAGGAGATTTAAAACTTGTTGAAAAGCCATCACCAGTAATTCTTGCTCCTCATGATTTCTGTAACATCAAAGCAAGTGTTAAAGTTGCATCGACTGAAAATGGCATCATTTTTGGTAACATTGGTAAGTCATTATTAGCTATTAAATTAATTTGACTATTGAATGATTTAATTTCTAATAATTAATTTATACTTATACGAAATCTATTAAGAAAGTGTTAACCATTTTGTTGTCAATATTATTTAATTTTTGGTAGAACAAGTTAAATAACAGTTATAATGTGTTTGGTACTATATAATACACAATAAATGTTTTTTCATATTTTACTTAATCCAAAAAATACTTCATTTTTATTCATTATTTTAAAAATATTTGTAGAATTAGATTTAAATTTTTGTTAAAACTCTCAAAATTGTCATGACTTACATTAATTTTTCTATTATTACCCTTTTTTTTTAGTCATAATCTTATGTTGTTAAAATGTAAATTTTTGCATGATTAATTTTAATAGTGTGCCTTGAATTTTACTGTAATTGTGAAAGATTGCTTTAATCTCATTTCTTTTTTTTAAAGTTTTTAAGTGTGATATTATATGCTAATGATTCATTCTCATAAATAAAATTGAATGTTGTGAAATTTATGCAAGTTCTGATTAGTATATTCTAGTTTATTACCAGGTCATGTTTCTGGTACCAGACAATTAAATTTTACCACAGCAGATCTTTAAAATACTTCAGCTCTTTCAGCAATTAAAATTCTTTGCAATATGACAGAATATGATCTCTTTAACAGATTAGCTGTTTTGAAATTTTTATTTTTAATCCTTTGAAATGTCTGCTTTTTTTTTCCCTTCATACAACTATGGTTCATGCCAATCCCCTTCACATCAGAAAACCGTGGTAAGAAGGGTCATTTTTCTTCTATATAATTCTAAATGATTTACTGTTTTTGCTCATAAAATTAAGGGTTTTTTTTTCGAAGAGCAGGACTGTTTGTAAATAAAAAATGGATTAAGGTTTTCTGCATGCGTATGGTAGGATTAAAAAATTAAGGCTTTCTACAAATTAAGGCTTCTTTTAACTGTCAGCGTGTTAGACAGAATTAATTGCTCAGATTCAAAAGAAAGTTTTTTTTCTTTTTCTTAAAGAAGGCTATTATCACTTGAAGATCTGATTGATAAAAAGTAATAAGCCACATATTGTAAAAAAATTTGAAATAATTATGTTCAGCAAGATCTTGTGTTCATTCTCTTCAAGCAGTAACAGTTTCTTCGAAGATTAAGCAATTCAATGCAAATTCACTTTTTTTATAAGCCACAAATCTCTGTAGTATCTGTGCAGGAAAATTTATCTCTTAATTACAAACTAAGTGGGTTATCACTTTTTACTCTCCAAGTCTTTTTCTATTTTAACAGTAATTTATTTTTCAGTATATGATATCAGCGGATCAGCCAGTGACAGAAGTGTTGTTGTTCTGAATGATATTCATATTGATATTATGGATTACATTATTCCTGCTACATGCACCGATCAAGAGTTCAGGCAAATGTGGGCTGAGTTTGAATGGGAAAATAAAGTAAGAACTTATCTATTTTTACTTTGAACTAACATCAGAATGTTGCATTCACTCTTTGACTGTACAAATATTAATATGTTATTTATTTCCTAGGTGTCTGTCAATACTTCATTGAATGATCTAAAATGCTATCTCATGCATTTGATTGGATTTACAAATATGAGGTGTCTAACACCAGAAAAGGTAGAGCTCATTGATGTTTGTTTTCCAATATCTGTAGTACAAAAGCAGTGCAAACTAAAATTGAAATTTAGAGTTTATTTAAGAATTCAGTTTGTTTTGCTTAAATACAAACTTAATAGCTGAAGCAGCATCAGGTTTAAGGTGTCTTGTTTAACTTTAGAATTCGAAGCAAAATATAACATTACTAGTATACAGTGTAACGTCCCATATCCGGACGTCCCTTTTCCGGAAGGGTCGATTTCCCGGACACTTTTTAACAATCAAAATAAACACACATCTATTATTTCCCTTCTCTTAAAAAAAAAAAAAAAAGTCTTTGGACACACATTTTTTTCCTTTTCTAGCTTCTAGTTATTCATAAATCAACAAAAAGGGGAAAAGAAGACTTCCCAAGACCGTAAGTGATGCTCCTCTTCAGGAATGCAGGAAAGGAGGGAGATTTGTTTTTAAAAGAGCATAACTGAGTCCCCTCCCCCCTTTTTACCACGTTTATATAAACTTACCTTCGTGTATGTCTGTCCGGGTGGAATTTTGTAATCGATTTTAAACTAACTTCCCGACTAGCTACAAACTTCAAATTTAGCACACAGTTCAGAAATGGATGACAATGCATGAAAATGAAGAGAAAAAAGACATGCAAAGTAAAATAAAATTAAAATTTAAAAAAAAAAATATTTTCGAGATTGTCTTNCGATGTTTCCAAAAAATGAGACTGAGTTTAGGGGTAGCATGAATGCGTCTACTTTGCAGGCAATTTTGATTTACCAAGTCCCAAATGATTCAGCCTTGTTATAGACAAGTGTTTGATGAAAAGTTTTTAAAATCAGCCAAATCTGCTACAACTGTAGCACTTAACAAGAATAATTGATTATTTTTTTATATGTGTTTATTGTCACATATGTTTGAGTAATAATAAAATATTTTGTTTTTAAATATGTTTTAAATTACTAAAATCAGCTATCATTTCTGTTTAATTAGTTTGTTGAATAAGAATAATAATCAAAAATCTTGTCACTTGATATGTATTATAATCAATAATAATTGTTACATTAAATCTTATACAGTTACAATTATGCTAACATTTAGTGTAAAGAAGTAAACTTTAATGTCGCGACCGCGTGACGTGTTCCTATTTTTTTCCCTGGCGGGTTGGCAGGTATGTAAGTGGGTTATTACTTTTTATCCTCCAGGTTTTTCATAGTTTAACTGTCATTTATTTTTCAGTATATGATATCAGCGGATCAGCCAGTGACAGAAGTGTTGTTGTTCTGAATGATATTCACATTGATATTATGGATTACATTATTCCTGCTACATGCACCGATCAAGAGTTCAGGCAAATGTGGGCAGAGTTTGAATGGGAAAATAAGGTAAGAACTTACCTATTTTTATTTTAAGCTAACATTTGAATGTTCCATTCACTCTTTGGCAGCACAAATATTAATATGTTCTTTATTTCCTAGGTGTCTGTGAATACTACATTGAATGATCTAAAATGCTATCTCATGCATTTGATTGGATTTACAAATATGAGGTGTCTAACACCAGAAAAGGTAGAGCTCTTAGATGTTTTTTTTCCCAATATCTGTAGTACAAAAGCAGTGTAAACTAAACTTGAAATTTAGAGTTTAATTTGTTCAATTTAAATGCAGACGTTATGAAAAGCTGTAGCAGCATTACGTTGAAACCGTCTGGCTTAATTTAAGAATTCAGTTTATTCTGCTTAAATACAAACTTAATAGCTGAAGCAGCATCAGGTTTAAGGTGTCTTGTTTAACTTTAGAATTCGAAGCAAAATATAACATTGCTAGAATAATATGATACAACAACACAACACTATGATTTTCAATACGTAAATTTTACACAGGGTTGCTACTCCACAGGGAGAACAGGGAAAACCTGGAAAATACAGGGAATTAAAAAATCACCTAAAATGCAGGGAATTTTGATTTTTTTTCTTTACAAACTGGGAAAATACAGGGAATTTTGTTTCTTATTTTTGTCTTTTAAAAAATGGTGACCACTTAAAGTGTAATCTATGGGATATTCAACCATGATATTTCAGCTATACTAAACTATTTCATTTACTATAGCATTATTTAATAATATTCAGCTGTTTTTCCAGCAATTAAAACTAATAAATATAGTTAGCCCAATATAGCTCACACAAGAGCACACTAATTGTTGTTTCCTCTTAATATATAGTGCATAATATGAACAGGGAAAACACAGGGAATTTTTTTTCCAGATTTGAGTGGCAACCCTGTTACAGTATGGTATACCCCAAAATCCCACCCATATATCCATCCCTCGGATGAAGTCGTAATCCGTGAAAATATAGGACCACTAATGCCATCTATTAGGAAAATAGTGAATTAAGCATTCTAAAGTAGAAATGAAGTCAGCTCGGGCTTCAGAAAATAGAAACGTTAACTTTTCTCTTACCCGAAGTCAGTTTGGGCATCACAAATATTGGGTGTAGTATTTGCCCGAGCTGGATTCAGGCGACTCTGGCAAGGGGTTAATAAAAAATCTTGTGTTTATACATCTCCTGTCTTAATTGTATTATGCATAGCACATTTCAATGATATAAAATTTAGTTGTGTTTGTAAATTTATAAATAAGATATGAATATGCAACTGTAAAATTGTTTGAACAAAAATAAAAATTGTATTGATATATTTATTGTCATTTAATTTCTTTTCATGTAGGCCCTGTCTGGTGAATGTGGTTTCATGGCTGCTAATTTATATGCCCGTTCTATTTTTGGTGAATATGCCCTAGCTAATGTAAGCATTGAGAAAAATCCTGTTCATCCTGAAGCTCCAGTGACTGGTCACATTAGAATTCGAGCTAAAAGTCAGGTATGAAACAAATAATATCATTAAACAATGATATAAAATATTCAAATTATACAGAGTGACAAAAATAACACATATTCGCTTTAATATGTCTGAACTCATGAAAACATTATCACCTGTAAATAGGTAATAAATAGGTAACCATTAGTTTTTATTATGTTTCTTGAATTGTTTCTTATTGTTGTTGCTTTAAATTAATTTACTCCTCATTTGATATGTAATGGAAATTAACTATAGAAATTAATGAATTGGAGTAGCCGCCGTTAATAGTGGTTAAAATAAAAGATAACGCCCCAGTTCTGATTTTACAAATTTTTAAACTAACATGCCTTTGTTTTAAACCTTAAAAGAATCAACAATAAAGTGAAGGCACTGACATCCAATTACATTTATACAAAATGAATTGTAATTTTTAAAGAGCCATGATGGCTCAGGGGATAAAGCGTTCGCCTTCCAATGGGGTGAACTCAGTTTGAATCCCAGCCAGTCGATATAAACTCTACATCCTGCTTGCACCGACCACAGCACTGATGTGAAATATCCTCAGTGGTAGATGGATCATGGGTGAGAGTACCCTTACGGTCAGGCTGTGTGAGGTTCTCATGGTCTTCCTCTCCATGTAACGAAATGCGGGTTAGTTCCATCAAAAAGTCCTTTACAAAGGCAAATTTCTCCCAATACTTGATCCAGGAGTTCCCTTGCCTTCTGGACTGGGTTCAAAATTAAAAGGCTATGAAGTTGAATAATAGTAGTCTTATACCCAAATTTGGATCGGCTGTTCAACGATGGTTATGAAATTTTTCGGTGATGGACTATTTTTGTATTATGCCACGAACTTACCTGGCTTGGTAGTAACATCGTTACTGCATCTATTGTAATTAAATCTAAATATTGAAAGTGAATGTCTAATAATTAAATGGATATAGTGACAATTATTTGACATTCCTTTTCAGTTATGATCCAAAATCTTTCTCTTTTTTTTTTTTTTTTTTTTTTCCTTTTTTTTTTTTTTNTTTTTTTTTTTTTTTTTTTTGCCCTTTCGGATAGACAGTTTAATAAATAAGAGTAATTTATGTGTCTAAAATACAATGAGCCATAAAAAGTCAAGATGAACCAGATAAAAGATTATTTTCTGAAGTTAATGGACAATAATTCGTGGATGATATAAGCATTGCGATAGTCCCAGAAAGTTCCCACCGTCAGAGTGGCGAGATACTTTTAGTGAATCAAAACCTTTAAATTTTATCAATTAAATGACGTTTCATTGAGATAAGAAGATGCTTGCAACGCCCTCCCATTCGGAACCTCACTTTAAAAGCTCAAGACAGCCAAAAATGCGTGTCTTTTTCATAGTTTCCACGGCTAGAGAAATCTGGGCCAAGTCCAAACAATCCCTGAAATGGGGAAACCATTGATGTAAATATCCCACCCATAATGTTTCAATACTCAATATAACGTAATAAAATGCCTTTTTATCAGAAGCCGCCTAAGTCTCTTCAATTATCTAGCCTTTAAAGGCATAACATTATATATATACTTTTTATTTGTATTAATAAAGTCGTCTTGATAAAACATATATTTCATTGTTATGAACTGTAATGTAAAATAAAAATGTACATTAAATTACTTTTCTTTGCAGGGAATGGCCCTTAGTCTAGGCGATAAAATCAATACAAGCCAAAAAATGGCTTTGAAGACTGGCGCTTGAAAGAAGAAGTTTTATTGAGTCAAAACATCTTCATTATTTAAAATAAGAACTTTTTTGACATTCAAAGATCATGATATCTCAAATTTAAAGGTATATTATTATACATTGTATTTTAAAAGCATTCTTCATTTTGTTGTATGTTAAATTTATAGTATTTTTCCATGTATAAATAAATCCACGTTGAATAATTGTGTGTTGTAATTATTATTATTATTATTTTAATTTAAGAACTTGTGTGAGTTTTTAAAAATTTGTATCTTAATGGCATCAAGAAACAAAGAAAAACTTCCATTTTTGACAGATTTATAAGTTTCTTATTTTACATAATTTGTCCACCACTAAGCACAAAACATTTTAACAAATACATATAAAATCATATAGACTTATACTTAACTTCTAATAATTTTTTGAGAAAAAAATCTGTTCGTACACTGCAATTGAAAAAAAATTCAAAACTGCGAAGAATCCGTAATTGAGAATTTATTTCAAGCGAGAAACCAGTTGATTTTTCTTAATCAATGTTTTAAATCAATGGGGCAGTTGAGAACTAATAAAAACAAAAGACATGTAAGTATTATTGATAAATTTAAATTCATTAATACTTTTTTTAAATAAATTTTTTTAATTTTATGTAATATATCCCATGTTTTGTTTAGTAAAATATCCAAAAGAACATATTTATTAGTTTTAAAAAAAATTCTCTTGACCAATACCTGTCGATATGAAATCTTTATTGATTTTTCAATCTGTAAGTTACAATAATGATATTGGATTTGTCATGTAAAGCGTTTAGTGTATTCTGTTGAATAGTTCGGTTCTGTGTTTTAATAACAATATGAAGTTTTAAAGAAAAACGGATCATGATCACTAATAATGAAGCTAAATGGAAATGTTATATCAGTATTATTTTCACAAAAACAAAGAAAATGTCAGCCACGAATTTTAGTCAAACATTGTGCAGGGGTCGCATTCCGCCTAAAATTTATAAAATTCCTAAAACTATACATAAAATAAAATACTTTTAAATGTTTACAGTTAAAAACTGCTTAGTTTTTTTTAAAAAAAAAACATTCCCTTATCAGAAAATATTTTAGATAAAGTGAAATAAAAACAATCAGAAAAGTCATGTTTCTTTTATCTCATTAAATAATACTAGAATCAATTTTAACATAAATTCTGAGAATGAAAATCTTTAATGTTCATCGACTTAAATTTTAAAGAAAAAAATTTATTTTCTAGTGAGTAAATTAAATGCAAATTAAATACTTTAATTTTAAAAAAATATTTAATTTTTAAAATGATTTAAATTGAAACAAAATTCTTATGGTGCGAAATAAAATTCAATATTCGGTAGAATCGGATGTTAAACTTTAATACAGAATAATGTTACAAAATCATGAGTAATGTTCATGTCTTCGGGGCTGGTATAGCCTGGTTGGCAGTGACTGGTTGAACTCGCGTTCGGGAGAACGGGAGTTGAATCCTAACGGCCGAAGGCTCCCCGTGTTGAAAATGGTGACTGCTGCACGTTAAATATGTCGGGTCGCAAAGTCCTCCATGTTCCCATAACAAATCAATACCTCTGCGGGTACTGAATTGGAGATTAATCGTTCTCTGGTTCAAGTCAAAATTACGGTCTGTGGGTGAATGAATGACAGTATGAAAGGGTCTGCTCTTTAAACGGGTATAATGTCTGGGTCTGGCTGAAGCCAAATTCTTGGCCATAGATGGAGGCCACTGGAAAAACAAGAACAATTGCACACCTTGCCTTAATGGCCTACGGCAACAAGAATGTAGTTCTCACATATGATTCCCTTATATCGGTACGTTTACCTCAAATAATAAAAATCTAATATTCCTTTAAAAAAACTAAGCGAGCAACACAGGTATATAATCTTGTAAATATTCGAAAAAAAGGAGCATTTTCTTCAATTTAATTTATAGCAATGGCTAATGGCTATATCACACGAGAGAAAATATGTGCAAGTGTAAGTGCAACTGTAAGTGAAATTTCTCCAAAAATCGCTCGTGTGATATAGAAATTATGGTTGCACGAAATATCTGCAACCGTTCA